TATTATATTATATTATATTATATTATATTATATTATTATATTATATTATATTATATTATTATATTATATTATATTATATTATATTAATTATATTATATTATATTATATTATATTATATTATATTAATTATATTATATTATATTATATTATATTATATTATATTATATTATATTATATTATATTATATTATATTATATTATATTATATTATATTTATTATATTATATTATATTATATTATATTATATTATATTATTACATTACATTACATTACATTACATTACATTACATTACATTACATACACATATACACACACACATGCATACACACACACATACACACACACACACATATATATATACACACACACACACATACACACACACACATATATATATATTTGTTTAAGGTTGAAGAAGAATACAGTTGGGAGAAGGGAAGGTCAAAGAAATATAATATTAATACACTAATTATGGAATTATCAAGATCAGTCATTACTGACTATTAATTCATTATTATTGTTGGTTTTTTTTCAAATATATAAACCAAGAAAACATGCTGTACACCAGGCACTGGAGATTGTTATTGTAAAAAAAAAAACCCCAATAAAATATCTTTTTTAAAAAAAAAAGTTGCTCAAGCTTTTAGGACCGCAACGGTGCAAGGACCACTGTCCAACACTCACTCCCGTGTTGTGTGGGACTGCGCGTCCCTTTCTCTTCAATCTCCTTCTCGGCTTCCTCTCTCTTCCTTTCATCCGGCGATGTAGAATGGGTGATGCAGCAATGGCTGAATTCGGGGCAGCAGCTCCCTACCTTCGCAAGTCGGACAAGGAGCGTCTGGAAGCCCAGACCCGGCCCTTCGACAGCCGCAACGAGTGTTTCGTGCCCGACGAGAAAGAGGAATTTGTCAAGGGCAAAGTGACGAGCCGGGAAGGGGCCATGATGAACGTGCAGACGGAGAGCGGCAAGGTGGGTGGAGAAGGGGGTGGTGGAAAAGCTGGGTTCCAGAAGGAAGATGGCAACGAAGGGGAGATGGTTGGGAGGGTCTCCAAGGTGGACCGGTGAATATTTGTGGGGGGTTCCAGAAGGAAGATGGCAACGAAGGGGAGATGGTTGGGAGGGTCTCCAAGGTGGACCAGTGAGACCTTGTGGGGAAGCTGGGTTCCAGAAGGAAGGTGGCAACGGAGGGCAGATGGTTGAGGTGATTGTCCAAGGTGGGCTGGTGAGAATCGTGACTCCAAACATTTGAAAAGCTGTGGAGTCAAGAGCAAGGAAGGAGATGCTACGGTGGAATCTTGACCGCGAGTGAAGGATAAATATCAAGGCCTTCAAAGAATTGAGAGGAGCTGAGGTATCATTCCAGGGATGCCAGATAGATAGTCCCACTCTCCAAAGTTTCTTTCTAGAGTCCTGAGAAGAGTTTCGGCCGCAGCCCTTTGAGGTAGTTCAACCAAGGAAGCACAAGCCATGACTGCTAATGTTACCTTTACCTGGTGTCTTTTCGAGACCGAAAGCACCTCTCTCCTTCTATTCTTGGGCCAGAAGGATTTGGGGTGACATGATAGCAGTCTTCTAGTATTTATGGGTCTGCCACAGAGAAGGGGGGGTCCACCTATCCTCCAAAGCCCCAGAAGGCAGGACAAGAAGCAATGGATGGAAACCAATCAAGGAGAGAAGCAACCTGGAACTGAGGAGAAATTTCCTGACAGTGACAACAATTAACCAGTGGAACAGCTTGCCACTAGAAGTTGTGGGTGCTCCATCACTAGAGGTTTTTAAGTAGAGATGGGGCAACCGTTTGTCTGAAACGACATAGGGTCTCCTGCTTGAGCAGGGGGTTGGACTAGAAGATCTTTAAGGTCCCTTCCAACTCTGTGATTGTGTTGCTTTCCAGAAAACTAGAGGGGGTCCTTCTGGTATGCTTCCCACGCCCCTTTTCCTTCCATGGGTTGAGATGTCTCTTATCTGATGACTGCTTTGTCGGCAGCTTTTCCTCCTGTCTCCCAAGGACGTTGTCGCAGTCCCTTACATCCGGCCAACCCCTTCTTTCTTCTTCCTGACCCTTTTCAGACAGTGACGGTGAGGGAGGCCGACGTCCACCAGCAGAACCCGCCCAAGTTCGACAAGATCGAGGATATGGCCATGCTGACTTTTCTGCACGAACCGGCCGTGCTCTACAACCTGAAGGAGCGCTACGCCTCCTGGATGATCTATGTGAGTGAAAACACGTCCGTTGTTGGGTTCCACGCTCCAAACAAGGGTTTATTTTCTCCCTGAAGCACTCCTGTCAAAGCATGCACAGTCTTATTGCGCTGAGGTAACCCAGGAGTAAATACAGTAAACAGTGGTCTGTATTAAATGGTGGTTTATATGACACTATCTACAAATACAGAAATAAAATATGTAACATGGTGAAACAGCAAACTCCAATATACAGCAGTTACAGCAGGAAACGGACGAGAGAGAAAGACTCTAGCAAAAAAAACTTCCCTTTTATACTCAGACTCTTAAAGGGATACACACACCTGATGAGTCATTCCTATTATTGCATCCTCCACCTTACATTATATCATTACATGAGTGGTTTAGCCTTTAAATTATTATCCTGACAACTCTCCCATAGCTGATGATCTCGGTTGATGTCCTGTTACAGGTGTCTATGAATAAACACCTTTGGGTCCCCACACAGGGGTGTTGGAAGGAAGAGAGGTCAAAAAAGTCAAGAAGTTGGCCACAATCGTGCATTCAAAGCCCATTTTTTAAAAATTGCATTGCACTGTACATCAATGCGCGGTATGTAACATTGAACCCCAGGGTCACGTGATCAAAATTCGAGCCCATGGCTGGCTCAGGAATTCTGGGAGTTGAAGTCCAGGAGTCATAAAAGAGCCAAGGTTGCCTACCCTTGGTCTAGGGCAGGGGTCTTCAAACCTGGCCCTTTGATGACTTGTGGACTTCAGCTCCCAGAATTCCTCAGCCAGGCACGCTGGCTGAGGAATTCTGGGAGTTGAAGTCCACAAGTCATGAAAGGGCCAGGTTTGAAGACCCCTGGTCTAGGGTCTCCTGCTTGAGCAGGGGGCTGGACTAGAAGACCTCCAAGGTCCCTCCCAGCTCTATTCTGATTCTGATGTTCACAAGACCCTGTCCAACTCTGTGCTCCTTAAACTGGTCCAGCACCACATTTGCAATTTTGATAATAGCAAGAGACAGGTCAGCCTAAGTCAAGAGGCTTTGCTAGGACTGAATTTTACAAGCCCTTCAAATCTTTTTTTTTTTAATCCGTTGGTCTTAGAAATCTAATCCATTCTTATTTATATTCGTCGTGTTTATATATCATCCAAGGAAAAACGGAAAGGACACGTCATTTTTTTTTTTAAAAAAAATGGCAAACTGTACATACGGTACAGTGACCTTTGAGGAGAGCAAAATGTGTGGATATCCACACAAATGTCACAACTGCTTTTTTTTTAATTGCTTTTTTTTATGAATTAGGAGGAAAAAGATCTTTGTACCGGTGTATTTTGCGGAACCTGTTTCTTTCTTGCCAAATACAGCTAGTCCTTACAACTTTTCGTTTAGTGACCAAAGTTACAACGGCACTGAAAAAGGTGACTTATGACCGTTTTTCACAGTTACGACCTTTGCAGCATTCCCCCCGTGGTCACGTGATCAAAATTCAGGCACTTGGCAACTGATTCGTATTTATGACGGTCGCAGCGTCCCCGGGGGGGGTCACGTGATCCCCTTTTGCGGCCTTCTGACCAGCAAAGTCAATGGGGGAAGCCGGATTCACTTAACGACGGAGTTACTAACTTAACAACTGCAGCGATTTACTTAACAACTGCGGCAAGAAAAGTGGTAAAATGGGGCAAAATTCACTTCACAAATGTCTCAGTTCGCCACAGAAGTTCTGTGGGGTCAACTACGGTCGTAAGTTGAGGACTACCTGTATGGAACAGATCTCCAACGCAAGCTCCAGGTTCCCCTTACAGGTCCCTGCGCCAAATAATTCATTGAGCCAAACTTCTCCGGATGTTTGGACTTCAACTCCCAGAATTCCTCAGTGAGCGCGGCCAGGGCTGAGAATCCTGGGAGACGGCTTGTGTATGGACAAATCAAAGAGAGATGGCGAATTGACAAAAAAACTGTTTTTTCTGTGGAAGATGGGAACTTCTTGAAACAAGTAAGGGATGATGCTAAAGGTCATATTAGAAGGATATATAATGTTCTATTAGAACTGGATTCAGAAACTGAGCTAGTTAAAGATTGTATGATTAAATGGGCTCAAAATATAGG